GGGGGGGGGGGGGGGGGAGGCTTCGGATGTTTCTGTTTGCTCAGGGTCGTTTTAGACGGTGCGTTTTCCCCAATAAAGTTTGGAGTACTTCCGAACTAGGGAACACTGGGCGAAGCGGGTTCGAAGGCAAAACAAATGAAAATTTTCCGTGGAACAGTTGAGAAGCGGCCGTTTCACGTCTTGGGGCCCCACGCGCTTACCGTTTTTTTGGAACGAACAACCCTGTTTAAAACGCCCCTACACAATCCTGAAGCCCCCTCCGCGCGCCTTTCTCCGCACCCTTGCCCTGTCGTCCTCCGCTTACGTTCGTTCCCCTCTCGGTGTCGGCGGTTTCTTCTCTGTAGATCAAGATCGTTGACTGCGGCCAGCTTTGAAGCAGGGGCAAAGGAGATCTGTTCCCCTTTTCTCGACAGCTTGTTCTTGTGGAATTCTAGACAACAAGCGTGGCAGACGATCCCAAATGGGACGAAATTGAGGCGCAGCACGAGCGCCTAGAACCTCATAGGCTAGTGAAGGTGTACAAACCACGCTTGAGTGACACCCCCTGTTGGTGCGCGTGGATGTAGAATTATTTGCATGATTAAGGTTGCGTTCTGCATTTGTGATGCGCTGCTTAGGAGCTTCTCCCGCATTGGGTGGGTCCTGCAACTCAGCCCCTGCTTTCATAAAACGCAAGGTGTCTTGTTTGCTGCCTGGCTGGGCGATTTTGTGGGACGGAGAAAACCGTGGTCCCGCAAATGCGGGAAGCGCTCCGTGTAATTGATTGCGCGCCGGTCGGAAATGTGGAGCCTCCAGTACGGCCATGACACGGGCGTCAATTCGCATTATCTCTGTCGAGAAACCCACCAGTGGGAACTGTGGAGTGAATTCCCGACCTCCGGACGACAACGTTACTTCATGTAGACCCAACGTTACAAAAAGCAGCCCATCTTCCACAGGGGTGGAGGTTGGAGAAGCAAATTAGTTAAGTTGAATTTAGCTAGACTAGTTTTGCCACCTATTTCGCAAGAAATACCAGTCGAAGGTCCAGACCCTTCTGGCGCGAGGGGTGCTCACAAGGCCACCTGTAGTGCATACAAGTACAACAATTCAGTATTGTGGTGGGCGGCGGCTATCTATGTGCCGGCCACGAGAGGATTAAATTACACGGAAGCTGTGGCTTGTCGCAAGCGAAAACTTTGAAGGGGCGTAAGTAGTGCACAAGGTGTTGCTTTTTCATTTCTGACTTGGAAATGTGTTCAGCAGAGTGTTGTATCCGTTACCGCTGAAAATTTATGATTGGAGAGGATTGAATTTTCCTCGGGGGGCCCGCGCACTGATTTTTCCCTCAATTTTACCCACTTTTTCGTGCATAACTCGCGACCATCATGACAAAACGAAGAAAATAGATATTTTTCGGGATTCCCATGACCTAGTGGAAGTTCGCGCAAGTTTTCAGAGCTGTAAATCCATTCCTTGCCGCCGCTCTCTGGAAAAACACACGAAAGTGTGCCGACTTCAGCTCGGAACCCATGGGGGAAAAAAATAAACATTTTCACATGCTGTTACGGGCACGAGTTTTTGCTTGACTAACTTTCTGCTGGGTGGCTCTACTTTACCCCCCTTGTACCCCCTTACTTCGGCCAAGCACAAGCGATGGCCGTTTGTTCCCGAAACAAATAAGTTCAGGAATGCCGAGAAAAAGCAAGTTGGAGTTGAGTTTCTATGCTAGGAAACTTTATCTTATTTCAAACGTGTTTCTCGTCCGTCACTGACCGGCGAAAACATTCCGGGTTATGTTTTGCTGCTACAGTGCATTGTTTTCTGCTACTATCGTTATTTTGGTAAATGTTACGTTGTTGAAATCATCCGTGTTCCGCGAGGGGGTTCCGGCCAACTGTACTCGAGAACTGGACGGACACCGCCCATCCGTTTCGGACAGGTGTCAGTGCCGACAGTCTTGTTTCCCTTCTAGACTAATCGTGCTTGCCTTGTTTTTCGGCATGATGTGCCAACAGGCACCACTGGGAGGGAGGAGAGTGGGGGAGGGCCAGCACCATCCATGTTACCTGGGGGATGGTGCGAGGGCGTGGTTGGGGGGACGTTTGATCAGCTATTCGTCAAGAGGACGAACGTCGGCGTCGACACCAAAACTATAAGCCCTAAACCCCGTAACGTGCAAGTCATGGGTTCGATTCACATCTGCCTGTGACTACTTGGTTTTTTTAGGGACTCCACAAGGGCGCACATAAAAAAAAAAACGACACCTACCCGACAAAACTTGTTCTCAGACCTCTCCGGGGGAGGGGGGTTACGAAGGCCCACCCACCCAACACCCCCCGACGCAATACAATTTCCTATATAAACATGCCGATTCTAAATCCGATATATAAAGGGCACATTCCATGCACGAGGGTATTGTATCAACCAACGTAGCCCCTGGGCGAGCTTGAGCTTGCGCGCATACCGTCCGTATAGCAGAGAGAGANGAGAGAGAGAGAGAGAGCTTAGTCTTGTCTTGTTGAGGTGGAGGGGCCTGGGGGAATGAAGAAGCACTTGAACGCACGGCAATTGCAATTAATTGTGGACGGATGGATGTTGCACGTGGTGAGTATGCTTGGATTGATGACGTTTTGACGCATGGTATTTAGTCTATGCGTCCTTTGGTTCTGGTGTGTGTGTCGTGTTATTTCGCCATATTCGCCCAAGGTCAAACGTCGCGGACTTGTCGCAGAAGCGTTGAGAAGTTCTAGGATACTTGTAGCTTGAGGGGCGGGGTGTTCCCAATTACAGTACTCCCAAGACTTGAAAACAAACTATAGCTAGAAGTTTGAAGCCCATCACAGCAGCTAATGTAGGTATATATACGAAGTAACAATCTTCCGGCGCCGGA